GTACAAGACGTACAGGTTCCCGTACAGATCCCGTACAGAAATAACCTGTACGTTTCGTACGGGAAGCCCCCGTACGTGTACTCTATGCAACGTCACAAACGCATTTTTAGGGTGAAGGAGAGAGAAAGGGAATAATCGAAGCGGAGTTTTACAACTCCAATTATCTTATTGAACTTAATACTACGGGCCCCCATCAAATTCTATCATTTATTATTGATTGCGGTTAATTCATTTTACATTTACAATAAGAGATTCCTTTTCCGTTCTTTTATAACAAGGATTGAGTTCTTCCGGCTGTAACATTTAACTCACAAATGCAGTTCAGTGTTTTTTGTTTTTTCACCGGGGGATATCTCTCTGGATTTCTTTCCACTACTCTAGGTTGTCTCATTTACGCTCTGGCTTTCCTGCATTAAGTATCGTGCAGTGAATAGTACTGAATACACCTTTTTGGTATGCCCTTCGGTTTTTTGGTGAGTTTCAAATCCCAATCCCAATCCCAGGAGGGGTAGGCAAGTGGTGTCCAATCCCAATCTAGGCAAGCAGAAAATAGATCTTCCTCACCTCACTCCAAACAGGTGGTTTTTCTGGCTCTTGTCCAGACTGTTTAATCTGTTCTGTTCGCCTCCATCCCACTGCCAATTTGTCATCTGTTCGGAACAGTGGTATTTCTCATTCTGTCCTGGCTTCAACCCCGATCCCCAGAAGGGGAGGGAAAACTCTGCCAAATTTTCTCGGAATCGTCGTGCTTCGGAACCACATTGGCTTCAATGTAGATCATGATCAGAAGTGGAAAGGAGAAGACCGACCTAGAGTTTGCAATGGACGGGGTAGGAATTGAGATTCAAAATTGGTTAGCAGAGCAAACCAAAACTGAACTGGTGAAGAGCGTGAAACTAGTGGAAGTGGGAGGAGACAGGATGGAAGAAGCAGTGGTCTATGAGTACCCCGAAGGAGCACATCCAGAAGCTCGATGAGTGTCATAAAAAACACGCAGTTCTTTTCTTCTTCTCCAGGAAAAGTCAGGAGTTCCACCGCCCGGCCAAGCTCAAATGGCTGTGGGACAAACTCAAAAGCTTGGAATCAGTGCAAGGAGTCGAGCCAAAAATTTCCTTCCATCCTCGAGCTAGGAACGTGATCATGGTCATCTGAAGGGACCCATCATATGATGGGTCCTGAGGAACAAAACCTTGACATGCAATTCCTCAGTGGTCACAGTGCACCCGTGGAAACCGGACACCCCTTTCCAAATGACCCCTTCTAGCTACAGACAAGAACTGATGGAGTACTTCTGGGTACAATTCGATAATGTGCATGAGGGTCTGCATGGGGAAATCAAACAGTTGATAATGTTGCATGAGGGTCTGCATGGGGAAATCAAACAGTGTTTGCAACTAAAATACGGTCAACTCGAAGTCAAACAGTGTCTGCAACTAGAATACGGTCAACTCAAAGTGGTTGACTGGATCATCGCAACGCCGGATTTTTTGGTTCCTCAACACAACACCATGACAGTTTGCCTAGACCTGAACAACGGATTCCCTCCACAATTGCCCGATTACTGGTACTTTGTTGTGAGGGATAGGACCATCAAAGTCACAGTGTCCTCCAAAGGCAACCCGATGTGCTTTTAGTGCAGACAAAGGGGACACATGGGAACTGACCCTCGCAGTCCGAAAAACATTGAGACAGCCAAACCCAAAGTGCTGAAACAGACAAGCCTAGCGGAAGTGGAACGTGAACCAGGACTCTGGTATGTGAGAAATTCTCCGTATATTGGCTGTGTTTTCAAAAATGGCCTACCAAACCCAGATTGAGTCTGGGTCTTGGAAGGTGATCCAACTCCAAGGCCCGACATTTATCCCCACTCAGATAGTACATGGCACACAATGACAATGGAAAAGAAATCTGCAAAAGAATTCACGAGAGACCTGGTTCTAAACCTGGAAAGAATGCAGGAAGTACGATGCCTCAAGGACCTGATCATGGATCTAAATGAAGCAAGTGAAATGGCAGAAAGGGACTGACAGGAGAAAGAGAAGAGAAGAACAGAGGGAAAATTGGAGATTGAAGCAAACAAAAACAAGTTGCTGTCCACGTACACAAGAAGGGGATCTCAAAAACCACAGACGCAGCAGCAAGAAGCAGCAGCAGTGATGGAACTGGACAACACAAGAACAGTCCAAGGGGCAAACAAGCCAGACCAACAAACACCAGATGATGATGACAAAGTAACAATGGGAGAAAAGAAAAAAAGCCACGAGGAAGGAAGAGGATCAACAAGCAAGAGGATACAGGTGGAAGATGCAGAAGGGGACAGGGAACAAAGCAGCCAGATTTGAAATAAAACTGGCCTATTTCAGAGGAGGAAAAACTCAAACAGAAATCAGGAACGGGAGACAGCTCTGAACCCTTCCCGCTGTCACCAAACCTATACGCCCCACTAGAGAAAGAAGAGGAACTGACTGCCCTATATGCAAAAAAATACTGCAAAACCAAGAGAGAACAGACACTGAAGGATCAGGAACCGAGCACGAAGAAAGAGAGCAACTGGAGGATGGATAGATATAAAATGTCAGAGCTCCCGAAAACGTACAGCAGAAGGAAAAAGGACGAAACCCGACAGGGCCCCCCAAAACAGGAAGGAAGAAAACGAAAGAACAAGCTGAGTCAAAGGGAGAAAGGAAAGAAAGCGAGGGCACCAACAAAGTGGGAGATGAGAGGAAACGGCTGGTTCACAAGCAGAGATATTAGAGTCACAGCTGGAAAAGCTAAGCCAACTCAACGATGAGCGCAGTCTGAAAACCGTGACAATGGAAGGCTTGAATGACCAGGCACAGTTCGCTTACCGGAAAAGAGCAAGATAGGAGAGCAGAACGCTGCTACCATCGCGAACAGTAATCCCAGCCAAATGGGCCGCAGACACATTGGAATGGCAGGTGGCATCTTCTCCCAGCTTCCCCTTGCTGAAGCTGGAAAAGGGGCAGAGCAGGGACAAAGCGTTGTCAAAGATCACACCAGGAGCCAAGTCGTTAGCAATGGGGCTGGTGGGAGAAACTCTTGAGGTACAAGAGTTGGGAGAGAGAGGAGAGTCAAAGGAAGGAGCTAGTTTGGACACAAGGCCTATAGTCATCTTGTACGATGCAGATACTCTATTGGGAGAGG